TCATATGAATCTTTTACTGTTTTCACTCGACGAAATTGCCTTTATGTGGCTTGCGAGGCATTTATTCATCTATTTGCCCATCTATATAGTTTGTCATATCTTTTTCTACTTTCATTACGTTGGGATTGACAGCAATACATTTGCATAAACAAAAAACTTCTTGAATGCAATGAATTTCAGTGATATCTTGTCCGAATTTCATCGTTTCCTTGTGGACCATAATTTCTCTGTTTAAGCATGAACCTGAACCCTGGTGCCCTGACAGTAAGTTAAAAGTTAATTGACCACCTATTCGAAATGATGGTGTCTAAAACCGGCTATTGTGGTTACAAATATATGGGCTTGCAATATTTGAAATTCTAACGTCATCCATTATCCTTAAATTCTGCCTTTTTAGGTTTGGGAGACGAGAAATCAAAATGTCGGTTTGCAGGCAGCCCATGAAAGCAATAGTGCTTTTGACTTGGTTTGATTTTTCCCTTGAATTCCTACTTATCTCCACCTTATCCATAAAAATGTTGAATAGACTTGCAGATATAACTACCGACGGAAGCTCAGCCAGGCTGGTTTATTGTCCCTGAACAGTGCGTTAAAGACTTCCTAGCTCAAATCAACAATCCCAACTGCATAGAAATCCTTTTTCAGTTTGCTGCTCCATCGAATTCCAAGCCCTTCTAACTAATCTTTCATTCATTCTCAAAGGACCATATGACAGGACTGCATGGGTATATATACATATATATAGCCATAGGGTCTTTTGAGAATAGATGAAAGATTATATCTATATAATTATACCATATTCTTTTATTCCTTTACTTTGTTTACTCTCCAGTCATTTAACACATTTACATTACAGCTCACCATTCGTGACGTTGACGAGTTCAACCACGACCGCCTGCCCAGCCCGCGACGGCGCCGTCGTACACTAAGCTTGCTTCGGCACTCGGGTCAGGGTGCTCGCCATCATCTAGTTCCGTCGTTTGTTCAGCCCTCAGGGTTCAATGCTACTCGCCGGGCTTCCACTGGCCGTTCCACTTTGCTCCTGCTCAATCGTGCTCCTGCCAGCCCCACTCAGGCCAATCAGCCACCTAGCTCTGTAGCTAGTCAACACTATCAACAACAGCAAGTAACATCGAAGGACCAGCAACAACTACTGACCCATCATCCCTTGCACTCTAGCCAGCGCTCACTTTCTCAGCCTCTCGGACAGACAACACACTCTAACTACCAACAAGATCAACAGCAGCAGCAACAACATCGCCACCATCACCATTCTCGTCTGCAGCAGCAACAACGCCACCTCCAGCGTCACCACCTTTTCTCAGATTATCAGATACAACAAGCTGACAGGGATTCTGAATTAGGCAATCAGCAGTCCTGTGATCGCCTCCAAGGCCGTTTGAGGAATGGTGCCTCTAGCGCAGCAGAGACAGATGAAGAGATCGGTCTAGATTCTGGATCGAGGGCTCAGATCACTTGCAATGAAGACACTGAATGCCGTAAAAATGTTCTGGGGCGGGACAACCAACGCAGTCGTCACATGAATATGAGATTGGTGGACGGTTATCCAGATGAAAATGAGGAATCTTTTGGAGATCAAGAGGATGAAGGAGAGGAGGCAGAGGATGAGGATGAGGCTGAAGATGAAGAAGAGGAACCAGAGGAAGAGGAAATGCTTGATGGAGGAGAAGGTGAAGAGGAAGATGAGGAAGATGAAGATGAGGAGGATGGCGTGCTTGGTATTGACGAAGAAGACGAAGAAGAAGACGAAGAAGAGGAGCAGGATGAGCTTGGAGAGGAAGGAGAAGATGAGGAGGAAGGTGACAGTGGTAATGGCGCAGAAGAAGAGGGCAGGATAGTAGAGCGCAGATGTGGAGTGATTCCTAGAACTGGAACGCTGGGCAGCCATGCAGACTATAACGGTACTCGCCGACGTTCTTTGCGTCGAAGATTATCTTCAGGCCGCCTACACAAACGCCCTCGACATCGCCTCTCATCGAACGCCCCGAGTTCGAATACTGGTTGCTACCTTGATGGTGAAGAGGAATTAGAAGAAGATGGAGAAGATGATGGTTCTGCAGATAAGGAAGGCGAAGAGAATGGTGTTGATGCTGATGATGAGAGGCAGCATGATTGTGAAGAGGAAGAGGAGGAGGAAGAAGAGGAATTAGGGGATGGTCAAGGAAACCGGAATCATAGTTATGGGCGGGCTGGACTTGACATTGCCGGCACAGATATAGGGGGGGATACCTTACCGTCCGGCCGAGCCCCCCTCAGGGGTAGGCGTCGTGGTGATAGTCGCCCTGAGCCTCCTGATGAAGCTTCATTACAAGTCCAGCCTCATTGCAAGCGATTGGCTCCCGAGACAGTATCACCTATGAACTCTGGCATAATCAGTGAGTTTGACTTTCGAAACTTCTGGTAAACTAGCTAATGTATTTGTACACATGCCTTAACACGAAAGTTATATTAGGCCGGAACAAGTTTACATTCATGTAGACATTAGCGTCTACAACGTCACTATATGCATAGTGACGTTGATATAAGTGTCAGAACCTACTGAGATTCGATTTTAGGTAATATTTTTAATTTCATTCTTCTGCTTCATGCATGCGGGAATATATCACCATCTCTTTTATGTTATTATGGTCACTCATACGTATAATACTTGAAGAATACCATAACTATAAAATTGTA